GTGAGAGTGAGAGTGAGAGTGAGAGTGAGAGTGAGAGTGAGAGTGAGCGAGTGCGGCCGCAAGATACGCAACGCTAACCACATGCCAAAGAGCGACGACAGGACGGAGTCGAACTTGCGAAGAGGGAGGAGGGAGGGAAGGTGGGAGGAAGACAAGGAGACAAGGAGACAAGGAGGAGGAGAGGGGAGGTGGGGAGGGGAGGGGAAGGGGGGGAAGGGGGGGGGCTTCGACCTGAAAAATCAGGGGTTAGGATTTGCACCCGATCGAAAGAAACCTTGCTATCGCAAGAATAACTCCAGCTAGCTTCGCTAGCTTTCGTGAATTCCAGGAACATCAATCTATGCAAGCCATCACTGAAAAATATCCTCAAAAAGGTCATGGTCAGCATTCATTCCCCCAACCAAAGCATTTGGCATGTCTGTTGGTCACACACTTCGAAATCAAAGCCCCATGCCTGTGGTGATGAGGTCCAGGAGCATGTCATTCACCGTCTGCAAGTCAAGTAGAAATGCTTCGGCTAACCCCTGTGCTTCCGGAGCCAAGACGCTCAGGTCCTGTGCGACGCGCCACGTGGCGAACTTCGTTTTGGCTCGAGATGTCAAGAGCCGCTACCGGACAACGAACTTCCCAAGCAAATGAATCATTCAAAAACTGATGCGTTGTCCCCTCGTTCTTTTTGAGACCTCAGTGAACTCAGTTTTTCCTGATTAAAAAGAGAAAAGATTGTGGGGACGTTTTGTGGCTGCAATTCCAAAGTTCCTGCGTGAACCACAAGCTCTCAAAGCCCACAGAAAGGCTTCTGATTCCAAACAGCTTTCTATACATGGACGCATGACCATGGTGCGAAAATAGGATCCATGTCCACTAAAAAAGAAAAATAGGCCCGGCTGCTTCTGTCCACGTTTGATTACATTTGTCTCTTTCTTTTTTGGTCACTTTCAATGACCATCGTCCTTGCTGACATACTTGTCCAGGCTCATGTCACTGGGGGCCGTTCTCTTGTCCCCACGCAGGGTGGCCATGCGGTCAAAGGGGGGAAAGCTGATCTCCACCGGCTTCAATCTCAGAAAGGTGGGGTCTGGAACCTCAATTGCATGGCGCAGACCGAAGGTCTAGCACCACACCGACGGAACCAAACGGCTCAACACCTGCAGGAGTATGGGAAGACCCCCTCCGATCCGATGGACAAGGACTGGTGGTCGTAGCATTGGCTCTTCACCAGACGTCCCAACTTTTTGTCACGGCTGGACGTGTGATTTGATCTATCGTTCAAGATGGAAACTCAAACTAGACGGCAGGGTGGCCCGAACACAATAAGAGATGACACAAGGTGATGGTGATGATGATGATGATGATGATGATGATCATGATGATGATGATGATGATGATGATAAGGGCCACTAGCTCTCAGGCCCTATACCTACATTAGGTACGGGCTGGTGCGGACACCCTCCCAAGCCATGGTCATCCGGGACACCCTGTCCACCTCGGTTCTGAAGAACCTCTACAACCGGATCTACATCAGGCTACTTGGTGGACAACCTCACGGGACTGTTCCCGAGGCCGGCAACATCATCCTGGTCGCGGTTCTCCTCCTTCAGGTGATTTACTTGTTTCTCCTTTGGAACTTTGAGAACTACCAGGACACCTCTTCCGTGAGCAGAAAACGATTCAGGCCACTGAGAACAGCCTCCCAGGTCCTTGCACCTACGGGTCCCAAGTCCCCAGCCAGGGCAGGACTCCTTCTTTCTTTTGGAGGAATCACTGTGGACTACCACGTGGACTACATGACCAAGCTTAATCCTCACACCCTGCCCTGGAGGCCCGAGGGTTCCGAACCTGCCACGAGGTTCGGTGAAGCCTCCTTCAACCTCGCCAGTCAGACACTCACTACGGCGAAGCCAAGTGGGCTTGGACATGGGCCTTTTAAGGTCACCAATGGCCCAACTCCTGGGCAAGATGTTGGGGGAACTTCGATCAAGGTCAACACACACCCTGTGAGCCCACTGCTGAACCCAGCAGAAGCCTGCTACATGAACTCAATGGCTACGGGCTTTGTTTGGGGTGCAAGGGAGACTGACGGCCAGAGCGAGGACCATTCATTGGACCAACTTTCCGGGGACTTTTGCGACCATTGCAGGTGACTCACCAGGGGCGAACCACTTCTTTTGTGGGCTGATGGGCAACGGACTACCGTTTTGTCCACCTGGCAAGAACCCGTTCGTCAACATGATGTCACTGATTTTGGGGACTATCTTCACCAACAGCTCAATTCCAATTTCCTCAGTTGTTGTTGGGAATCCTGGCTTGAGCAAGATGGGGAGATCCGAATTGTGGATAAGCACGCCCTGGGGTACCCCCTTCACCTCTACATCTGCAGTGAGCAAACGTATGCCATGGTGTCCACTGGTTTGCAAGGGCATATTTCCAATTGGTGCATGGCATGTCTTGGTCTTCATGACCCTACAGAGCCGGAAGATGCATCAGGTCTTCCTACTGATCGCATTGACTCGTGGGGACGGAACGGTCGGGGTTGACCTTTGTGGGATTCTAAGGTGTGGATCCCCTCTTCCTTGGTTCCATGCTGGGCATCGGCCACACTCCCTTTGAGGTCACTGCGGACTTACATCACCTAGGCTCTGAACCAACATGTGTTCACTACTGCACTGCAGTGTATGAGGGCGGAGGATGGTGGATCTTCGATGGTGGCATGCCGCCAGTGAAGTTCGAGGTGGTTCTGCTTGTGGAGCCAGAGATCTGCATGTCTCATGGTGAGGCTGGTCCTTTCTCCCTACTGGCCGAGGAATTCTTCATTCTGTCAAGTGAGGAGGGGGTCAACCACATCATCCATGAACCAACCACGCTGAAGAATGGAACCACATGGTTTCAGGCCTTGGACCCCTTCAGTGTTGGCATCCAGGTGTTCATCCTGTACCCTGTCCTCGACTTGTCAAGAAATACATCATGTGCAGGAGCTGGCTCCGTGACTTCAACATCCGCATGGAAGTGGCCCATCGAGCTCTTCGGGATGAATCCTTCCCCTGGACGGAAAGTGTGCGGTTGACTTCTACAAGAAGACTCATCCGAAATGATGGTGCAAGCGCCAATCTTTAATGCCACAAATCTCACTGAGGACCACCCGTGTCCAGGCCTTCGCCATTTTGGCATTTTGCCTTGGCCTTGTGGCTAAGGCAGCCGTCGAGCTCTGATTTTGCTCGGCAGCTGGCCAGGCTCCAAGCTAGAAGCTGGTGGAAGCTGGCAGGCTCTTCGGAGCCCAGACGGATCACAGGATCCACGCCTTCATCACCTGATGAGCGTATGGAAAGAAAGAAAGAAGATGATGATGATGATGATGCTGATGGTGATGATGATGATGATGATGATAATGATGATGATCACGATGATCACGATGGTGCTGGAGCCAAAATACAGTGGATGTGACAATCTCAAGATACACCTGTGGGGTCTGTAGTGGGCTCAAGCACAACACTCTAGCAGGGACACTCTGTAGGAAAGCTGCATCTCTGCACCTTGATGATGATGCTGCTGCTGCTTGCTGGTGGTGGGTGGGGGTGGCGGTGGCGGTGCGGTGGCGGTGGCGGTGGTGGTGGCGGTGGCGGTGGCAGTGGTGGCGGCGGTGGTGGTGGTGGCGGGGGTGGTGGTGGTTGGACGGTTACAGTTAGCAGCCGTTCTTTAGGGCGAAACGACCACCATCCTCTGCTCCTTCTTCTGTTCGGAGAAAGGCCTCAACCTTCTCTTTCCCAAGGTTTCCATGCACAGTCAAAACGTCACAGTCGACCCAAAGGCACCACGAATCTCACCTCTTTCAAGGCCTGATGAGACTTGAGAAAAAGGTGGGAAACACCACTGAAACATCTAAAACATGCTCCCGCACGTTCATCAAATATCTTTCCAACCCCCTTGACACCCCGGCCAGCTTTGTCAAGAGCACCCACCAGTAGAAGGTACTCCGAACCTGCAATGGAAGCTTTGTGTACGTCGTCCAATCCTTGGCCACGGCCGGCGTGATGGGCATGTTCCACGCAGTCGCCTTCTGCATCGTCTCATCCAGATTCCAACCACTTCCGCCGGTGATGAAGGGGACGCACTGCGACGGATTCTCCTGAGGTGAGATCATCACAAAGGAGCAAAAGCAATCGCATTGTTCATTCATTCGGGGCACTGTGGCGCTGTGGAGGTGGGGAAAGGGAGGTGGAGAAAGGGGTCTTGAGAAAGGGGTCCTGCACAGGGATCTCGCAAAGGGGAAAGCCTGCAGCTTCGCTTCGCAGGCTCCGGAGCTTTTAGCAGCTCCAGAGTCCAGAGGCTCTTTCCTGCCCTTCCACCATTGGTTTTGAGCTGTTTGGTGTCCGAAATCCCCCATTCGGATGAAACTCACACCGAGTCTCTCGACAACCAGGTGGGTACCAGAAGTAGTCGCCAAAGCACTTGCCCCTCACTCTGTGCGGAACCTCGACTTCGACACCATCCCAGTCGCCGGTGATACTTGCATAGAACTCCATGGCCTAGCACAGCCACAGTACCAAGTGCAAAAGAACAGAAGAAAATCCACCACCAAGTCTGTCTTTCAGACATGATCTAAAACACCTGGCCTGCAGTTGTACCCTCAACACACAATTCTTTTTTATTTTTCCTGCATGCACAGAGATTTCACCTGCCTAGGAGGCCATGCTGAACTTAGAAGAAGGCTTTGTCAGGTTCGTGCTGGTGGAGATATCGAATCAACATGCTAGCACTTCTTCGCCTCACAAACCTCACAAACTTTGAGTATCCAAGCGGTTGTCACCAGGTCTGTGGAGGCATGGCTTTGTAGGCACATACAGCCTTATATATTTGTACACATATATATATATATATAGTTTTAGAGCTTATGGCCAGCTGTCCTTTCTTTGCATGAAGCTGTCCAGATTCCCAGGAAGCGGACCTCCCAATCGAAGGGGGAAAAAACACCAGTCGCCTCGGAGGCTAGGAGCCTGGTCTCATTGCAGGGCAGCAGCAAAGATCGATTGATCAACTCAAGTGGATCAAAGTACTTGGCCGGATTGGTCCAAGAGACGTTATAGCCTCGATAAAATTCCAAGATCCAACCTGGTGGCGGGACAACTGTCCAATTCTAGGCCACCTGGGAAGGATTTCAGGCCTAGAATGAACCCGGCTGGCTGCAGGATCGTCGTGGCACAAATGGTACGGCATGTCTGGGATTCGGGTCTGGCATTTCTAGCTTTCTTCCAAGCAGCGAACCCTGCAGCCTACCACTCCGTAAAGGAGTGAGGGGCGAATATCTAGCCGACCTAGCCCAATCGCCACGTGATGATGCTACATATGTTCACAAAATCTATGTATGCATTCAGAGCCGGACCATGTTGATTCCTGTTTAATCGACCATGTATATCAGAACAGGGGGCCAGGCCACTGGATGTGCTGATTTCTCTTCCCATGGACCACACTGGGGTCCCCATCTGAATACACACCCACATGGTACTGTTTCCAACTCGTGCTTCCACCTTCATCTCTGTAGGCGGCTTCTTGGATGCTGGAGGGCAAATACATTGAGGTCCTGCCGAAATAACCTTAGCCGTTTGCATCCGATAGCAATGCCGAACCAAACAATTCAACACGAGTACGAGTGCAATCCGGTGGTTGACGTATAAGTGATGTTCTTCACCTGGCAGATTCCAGCTAAGAATACCTACAAGCTAGGACCTGGCAACTATGATACGAGATCAACCATTCAGAAGTGTGCATCAGGGCTCAAGTTGCCTCAAGAAAATCCCTGAAATGTCACAAGAATCAAACACCCGCTCACCAACCCACACCATAAACCTGAAGGGCTGTGATGTTTCGACAACCCTAGTACCGCAGCCTCTAGACTCCTGGGAATCTACGCAATCTTCTCCTAAGCTGTGGTGCTTCTCCTAAGCCACATGTGAAACCTGGACTCATATCACTTTGGAAGACAGCAACTCCAATGCACATGTGTCACATGAGCATCTATTGGATCTCTCTTCCAAGAATTCACAAGGCAGCTGAATTTACAACAAGGATTCAATCGGATCATCCAAATAATCTGCCGAATCGAGAGCCGTACCGGAAACGCACCGGAAACGCCGAAAAAGAAGCCCTCAACGGAGGATGGAGGCCAACCAAGAAAGGCCAACCAACTGGTCATCCAAGAAGCCCATCTTGCCTAGGTTTCTGGGTGCGGTGTGTGGCAGGTCTCGTTGAACCTCTGCCCATTCCGCGACATACGACTCGGTCCATCCCTCCACACTGATGTGGCTGCGAGTCGAGCTGGGCGCCGGCGTGCAGCCTCGGTCCTCGACGTCGTGAGAACGGCGAAGGGAGAACTTCAAAGGCCATCGAAAGTGCTTGAACGTTAGGCTTGTACGTTTGCTGTTTGTTTGCTGGTCCCCTTGCTTTTCTTCATGTCGCTGTTCTTTTTCCTGCTGCAGTAATGTGTCGATGGTTTCTACTTCTTGGCTCCACATGTGTTGCTGTGCTTTCCCGTTCAATGTGCCTCAATACTATTCAATACTTCTCGGCAGAACACGAGGAATCACTGAGACCTTTCGGTGCAAACGCCAGTCCCCGCACGCCCGCTCGCGCACAGCTCGCGTGCTTCCCTTCCCAATCCTGGACCTGCGTCGGAGTACGGCACCCCGCCATCGCATAAAAGGAATCCTGGCCAAAAGAAGTGAATGGAGACTGCTGAGTGATCATCTCAGCTGCTTAAAGATCAGCTTTTACTCCAAATCTCTCTTATACTTTGACCCGAGGGTCTAATGAGTCTAATGCTGCATCAAGTTTCCAGGTTTTGGTGTCGGTTCCTGGTCAGGAAGAACCCTTACATGCTCCAAAGATCTCGAAGAGATTCCAAAGATAGGCCTCCAAAGGAAGTAAGAGCTCCAAAACCCAGCACCTCAAAACTACAATACCAGTTCGCTGTGCCATGATGTCAGGTTTGTGTTGATTGGGATGTTCAATCTGAACCACCAGGGATCTCAATCCATCCCATGATCTGGGGTCACGGTTGGATTCGGAAACTAAACGGTTGTTTTCGGAAACTAAACGGTTGTATTCGGAAACTGCGACGGTTGGATTCGTGGGATTTGGAAACTGATACTCGGAAACTGCCCGGTTGTATTTGGAAACTAAATGGCTGTATTCAGAAACTGGGACGGTGGTATTCGCAAACTGGAGGGTTTTATTCGGAAACTGAACGGTTGTATTCGGAAACTTGTATTCGAAAACTACAGAACTATATATATATATATTCGGAAACTGGTATTCGGAAACTGGACAGTTGTATTCGGAAACTAACGTTCGAAAACTACGAAGAGCAACACCAACACTATTTCCGGAGAGCATCAACTTTTCACGCAACTACCCACCTGTGTTTATTGCCCCCCACCCCCCACCCCACCCCACCCCACCCCACCCCCACAAATCTTGCAGAATACGAGGAACATAGTTTCTGAATACAACGGAAATAGTTTCTGAATACAACGAAATAGTTTCTGTTTCGACTAGTTTCTGAATACAGCGCAGTTTCTGAACACGACTTTAAGATTCCATGATTCTTGGAGTCTTTGCTTTTGCTCGTTCCTCATGTCCACTGTTTTCCACCCCTCTGGACGTTCTCTTTTGGCCAAGGCTCCACGGTCATCGACCCGACACCAGTCGCTTGCACATGAAAGCCAAGCATGTCCTTGGATTTGATCAAGAACCTGATTGTTTGGAAACATCTCAAGCGATTCCCCCAAAAAAATATCAACCCCTCTGCGTTTCGGGCACGTCTACCTCTTCGAGCCCCTTGAATCTGAGCATTTTTCTTCGCAAAATGGACCTGTTTGGGCCAAAAGAACCAAAACAAAAATCCAGCCGTCCAACCCAGGTCTCTTCCAGCAAGATCCAGACCACGTGGGCCGTCACGAAGCCCGCAGGCCAACCGTTGATCCACAAGCCCAGTGGGTAACCTGACCGTCTCGAGATTTCAACCGGAAGAAAGGAGTTCTTGGGAACAAGAAAGGACGAAGAAAATCCAATTTTCATACACCAATTGGATTCGGAGATCCCAACATGCTCCCAGTTGACTCAAGTGACCGGAAGTTTGGCATTCATCCATCTCCCACTTGGGTCCTTCTGGTTCTTCCTAACTGGTCACAAAATTGTTTTATCTCTTTTCCAACTGCTGCTCCAGTGGCTTTCTCCGTCATTCACCAAGTACTTTCGTTGGTCTTCAGGGATAGCATCAACCAAGCAGGTGTCTGCAAGGGCAAAAGCGATGATGCCAAATGCAACCACCAAAAGCAATTCTTTGTTGCAACCCATGCGCCCGCCCATGCGCCAAAACCCACGTGGGTGTAAGGTGTTTTGACGTTGCTGCAACACAACCGCAACAAACGGTGGGCAACATCATGCGTCATTGTGCATGGTACATACTGCGCCCAATCGTCTGGCGGCGGCTTCCTTCGACAGCAATGACCTTCCAGTGACAAGAGTATTTTGAGATTTATTTCAAATTCCAACACCTCTGAGTTGTGAAGTCTTGCAAGTAAATATGAACCAAGTGACATGCAGTCCACTGGGGCCTTCGTATTGAATGCGAATGCAAATGCTGTGGAATTCAATTCACTGAGCACACGCTTGCTTGCTTTCGGAGGGGGCAAAAGGAAATACACTTTTTGAGGGACGGTTTTCGAAACTCAAAGCGATGCACATGAGAGCTCACATGAATTTGATGCTATTTTTTGGGGGGCCACTCAAGCCCACCATGCAGTGCTCTTCTGTGGCTGGTGAGGGTGTCACTGTCAGTTCCATACTCAGGGCCACTTTGAAACCACATTTAGCTGTCTGCTGTCGACTCTTGTTCCCCAGAAATTTACTGGAGTCGTCCAAGTGGGTCAATAATCGTTTTGATCCTAAATCGAACAAGTGCACAAACAATGATGGGAAGCAACAAGGCCAAAACATCCGGCACCAAACAACTTGAAATGGCTCCTGTGAGTTGAGCGTCGCTCGAGTTTCCATCTGGGCATTGGTTTGGCACTTCGAGATCTCGATCCGATAGGAGCCTCTTGAGCACAGCACGTGGCACGCACATGCAAGAAAAAACTGCACGTTCCGTGCCGACGCTCATGCCGTCCATTGTGGAGGCGAACCTCATCTTCCGCAGCAGCAAAAACTTCAAGCACACTGTGTGCCGCGCTTCGAGATTTGACATGAAGAAGTGCTGGACATAAACAGGTCTGTGCAACCGAAACACTGCAATTCAAGATCTTGAAGGTCCTTCTGGCTCACGCAGTCAAAAAGCAAAGCACTTGAACACCTTAATCGTCCCGAGTTCAACACCAGCGCCTCAAGCACTGGACAGTCGAGGACGAGCACATTGGAGTTTTGTGGACATCAACTCACCCGTGCACCGAGTCCATTGGCCGAGCAGCTCAAAGGCATCAACCTGTGACCTTTCGGACAACGATGCCGACAAAGTGGTTCCAAGAGCTCGCTAACCACTTGGTGCACTTCAATGGCCAGCAACACAAACGTCTCCACACCTTTTCCACTCTAACTGAAAGAACAAGATGGACAGTGCTTCGCCCTGCTGTACAGGGTTTTCCGGCTACAATCAAGCTCTGGCTTGGGTTGGGAGTCCATTGCAGTGCGACGGCTCGTGCCCTTGCAATGCGCGGTGCACTTCCAAGAAAACACAAAAACCAGAAACCCACGAAACGCAACTTGACATTCAAGTCTCAATGGGGCACTCCACACTTGCGCCAAGGCATTCCAAGCACACTCCGGAGTTTTTGTCTCCATGAGAGAGCCCGTGGCGCTTGCTGCGCAGGACAGAAGACAGGGTGCTGGGTGCTGGCAGTGCGCGTGGTGGAGACAGCGGGCGCCAGTGCTGCTGGTGGGTGCTGCAAGCTGCCATTACGCGTGGACACTGGGTGCGCTCCAAAACTCGCAAAACCGGTCGCAGAAAAGCGCTGGAAGAAGCAACCAAAGCTGTTCGGGGCGCAAGATCAGGAAGGCCACTCGATCCGAACGGGAGTTCGGACCTTCTGCACGCAGAAGTTGAATCTTTTGTGAAAAGTTGCCTGAGCCCTGAAGTTGATCGAACTCGAAAGTGAAAAGCGTTGCTTTCGTGTGAATGAAGCCACGTGAGGAGCATATCGAAGCTGAAGGGGATTGAACGACTGCTCAGCGCCTCAAACCACTTGTGTCGACGTGAAGTTTTACTGTACAAGGGGGTTTGAAGCGGCCACCACAACTGCAAACGCACGAAGCTTCTCTTGGAGCCACTGTCATGATGACGACAAAAAATATTGGCGAACTTTGCGCCAAGATGCTCAGCCGAGCACAGAAGCTCCCTCTTCCTCTTGCCCCTGCGCCTGAACAGTTTGAAGCAACAACTGACTTGGCTGACGTTTGAGACACTTCGACCCGTCGCAGCCAGAAGTTGAACTGGCCAAGTTGGTTTGAGCCACAAAAAAATCCTTGCGTCAGTGCGTTGCAAGGGAACATTCAAGCATTGATGCTCAGGATGGAAGCAGCATGCGGGCGGCAAGCACCGCAAGAACGTGAGCACAAACCTTAACAACTCAAATCCTCATCCTTCACAACATGCATAAAAAAACAACAATCAAACAGAAATGAAGCAAGTTTTCTTGGCACACACGGCTTCACCGCGGCCAAACCTTCGCTCATCTTTCTTTCTTCCCTAATCCAAAACTGGACCAAAAAAGCACGATGGGTTCACAACCTTTTGCCTTAAGTCCCAGCGAGGGGCAACAGCGAAGTCAAGAGGGTAAATTTGGCCCTGCCTGAGGGTCTACTTGCAGGCTTAGGGTATGCAGTCACTCGGCCGGACAGTTCCTTCCTTTTTCACCAAGCCCTTAGCGCGGCTGAGCGATCCGGAGTCTCCGGTATTCACCAGTGGAGCGTGATGCTCCCGACAAGCGCCAGAGTCTCCCAGGAGATCTATGAGCCGCTCATCGGAATACAATATCCTATGCTGTGCAGTCATCGGCATACGGTAAGGGTCTACCAGCACCTCGAAGACGAGCTGACAAGAGCAGGGGCTGGCAACGAGGGCATCTTGGCCCTCACAACTACTCGAGAAGGAGCCCAAAATCTACGCAATTACTTTGAAATTGCCTGGAAGACGGCTAATACAGAAACGGCAGTCAAAGTGGCAGGTGCCACAGCCAAGCACTGCATTGTCATACATGGGGAGTCTACTTTCCTTAGCGGGGAAGGGCGCAATCTGGATTATGACCAGGAATGTTTTACCCGAGCAAGTGTGGCATATAGCAGAGCCACCAACCTCACCATCCTTGCCTGCCCTTTGAACATGCAAGGAATGCCAGGGGCCTTACAGGTACTTGCTGCCCTCATACATGGTGTTCAAAGCATTGACACCTATGATGACTGGCAACCCGTGATTCGAGGCTCTCTGGACCTCACGCCAATCCAAGTAGAAAAAGCCACCACTGTCTTCCAACAGGCCGTTTTGCCCCACCAATTATGGTCTGGCCCTCTGCCTGCATGCCTCGCAGAGCACCACCAAGGTAAGGCGAGGCGCTTACGCCTCGTCTTAGCCACACTGTCGCATTTGACAAAAGCAGAGATATCCAGCCTGCAGGATGGGCCACATCTCCCTGGAGGCACGACCGAGCATGGGCTAGTCAATGGATATGCGGTCGATGCGTTGTCCACGCCGGAATGGCTTGTCATCAGGCGAGAGCATATACCTGCGGCGCCATTGATCCATCTCTGGGGCAAGCTATGCCTTTCCCATCCCTCCTGCAATTGAAACTGCGCATTGAAGTCCCGTTGTGGAGAAACGTTACGGCCAAACATTCCCCAGCAGACCCCCAGTCGGAAGGGTGGGACACAGATTCTCCTGCAAGTGGATCAAAAGAGCAGTCGCCCAGGCACGCACAGCCGGTGCCAGTAGGAGGCCCAAACAGAAAGCGCTGCAGGCGCACTGGACTGAAAGTGGCCGTGGACTGACAAGGCTTTCTGACGACCCTCTCAGACTCTCCCATGGCTATCCCCAAGTTCAGGAAGACGATCGCCCGTGTCACCAATATGGCCCTATTGTACAAAAAGGACCGGTGGAACCAGCTCTGCGGATGGCTGTCTAAAGACCCCACGTTTCGGAGGAACCTAGAACGCCATAAGCAGCCGCTCAGAGACTAACAGGGGGTCAGCCGAGATGACTCTGTGGCTCGCAACAAAGCCCGGCGTACAGCCCCGTGGTAGCAGCTCCTCATCGGCTTTTTTTTTTGCACGGGTATGGGCGCTATGTGTGCTGAGAGGCACAAGTCACCGAGTCGAATTCAGAAGGGGGTACTTGAGATGAGCCTGACACCAAGACAAGCAGCACCAAGCCAACACACCAACACCAAAAAAAACCAACCAGACAAACCAAAAAGCCAGAACCAACAGTCAGGCTCAAGTCCGTACGAGTCTAAAAGAGCAAAAGGTGCAGATCCGAGGACCAACACAGTGGTGAAACGGGGCAATGAATTCATATCCAGCCGCTCTCAGTAGAGGACGTCCAGGGCGAAAACTGCATTTTGATGCAATCTGTACATGGGCAGGAGTGTATTCCTTCAGCGGTGCACTGCGTGTGGAAGTGCCTGAGCATGCTGAACGCGAGAATGGGGTGCACTGCAGTTTCGGCTAGGTCCATGCAAATCAAGGCACAGCACAACTTGTGTCAAAGAATGCGTGCACTCAAACATCCCAAAGAGTCACACAGTGACCTTATTTTTTGGTTTTTTTTGCGCGAGTGGAGGCGCTGTGTGTGCAGGTCATGCACAAGTCACCTTAGTCGAGTTAAGAAGGAGTTACTAGACAGGTTGCACATAACACGAAAGGACCAAAGCAACCCAAAACCCACCAAAAACAAAAAACAACACAACAAGACCCAAACCGAGTGCAACCTGTAGCGCAGCTCCAATGAGCCAAGAAGGCATGAAGAAGGTGAGACAGGGGCGATGAATTCCGCAAAACGCTCAGTACTTCTTGTTCTTCATCAAGCGGAGCAAGGTGCAATCGAATCAGGGGCAAAAGAGCCCAGCGAGCAAACGGTTGCATGTGCCGTTGCAAGTACTGACTAGCCATTTATCACCCTGTGAGTGCCGTAGCACCACCAAAAAGGCAAGGATGAAAAAGCTGGGAAGGGTGGCACAGTCCAAAATTGCAGCATTGCTACTGTGCTCTTACCACCAGTGAAAGTGTGCATCAAATAGATCCGAATTGTTAGTGAGGGAATGGCCCTTTGACCAGGGTCCATTCGTCACGATTTGCTTTTTTGCCAGCAGGTAGCCACGAATGCGGAACCAAGGAGGTGCCGTCAATGGAAAACCACGGTCCCTCAGCTCGGTATTTCC